GTAGCTGCCTCAACTGTACTGATTGAATTTCTTTGCTCTTCGTAAATAACGGTTTAATATATTGAGTTTGCATGGCATACCCATATTAGAATGTATTCGTGTTATGCATGTATGTATGTATGTAGATATATGTATATAAGTGCATAGATATGTATATATAATAAAATTATGATACATATATGTATAAATGAAGTATTTACTGATTACAGTTATTGATAAAATATTAAAGCAATTTGAAGAGTGACAGTGAAAAGCGTTACTTACAAAAAAGACTTTAATGCATAGAGTTGTGTTTTCTGTTATAAAAGGGACAATAATCCTCGCTGTTTCAAAAGACGAACGAGATTCCGCGTTCATTGGCTAATTGAGCTGTGTGATCTCTTAAATATTGTGCGACATGCCTTAACCGACTCCAATCGGGACCAAATTTTATTTATGTGATATCCTCGTCTATCGATTTTGGGTATTAGATGAAAAAATAATAATTTTAATTTTTTCAGTCTCAATATGTAGTTGTATGTTTCAATATTCGTTAGTATAAGTACGACCACAAAATATTTAAATTTTAGAAAACTGTATAACTCAAAAGCTTATTCCTTGTGCCACCTAGTATATTATGGGGCGTCGCTGACCATGATGACAATGACTGCGGCGACTTTCCAACGCACACACCACCATCCACACAATCATTTGGTGTTGGCATTCTAGTGCCGATCATTCAATCTTCTTCATGTGTATGTGACCTCATGGCAAGCTGTTGACTTATGTATTGTTCATGCAAATATTTTCATTTAATATAACAAGTCAATTGAGCTGAGCATACTTAAGCTGGCGACACCAGCTTTGCTACAAGATAACCACAATAATACCACTATGGCTAAATGCATTTGCAGTGGTAGATGAGAGAAGAATTGGAAAAGTAAAAAAACAGAAGAATAAAAGCGCGAAAAGTCAAATACATAATCAATTCATTGTTGTATGGATGTGTGCAGTTGGCATGTGTACTACACAAGACAAGAAGCTTTTATACTTAATTCATTGCTTGACACTAAGCGCTGCCAAAGATTGTGGTTTGGCATTTAGTCTTTGGAAACATCTTCAGTTGGCAATCTTAAGTGCTTACTTAAAAATTGTGAACTTTGTCGGATTATGTAAACAATGCATAAGGATAATGAGCTGAAGTTTAATTAATGTGTTAGTATTCATATTCAAACAAAGCTGTTGGGTGAAATTTTTCCACGAAATGACAGCAGCCCAACTAGTCTGGATGGAGATGGAAGCAATGTATGAGTATACATGCTAGAATAAAATTGCAAGATTTATATCCGTGAGGAAAGATTTAGGAAGCGATTAGTACTTCTAAGGCAAGCAGGTTGTTTGGTGGTTGAGTAGCACTCCTCCGCTTGGTACAATTCAGGTTCGATTCCTGATGCGATAAACATCTTAACAGATTCTTTGCTTAAAGCTCTTTCGTCCGAAATTATTTTACATTTTACATACATCTCCTGCGGCACTCAAACTTATGCCGAAATTGCGCTAGGCATTGAAATTACAAAAAATTTGTTTAAAAAAATGGAATGTGGAAATGAACTTAATGAATATATTTTTAATGTAATGACACGATTATTTTTTAATGCCCGACATTTTCGTTTGTGTTTTTGCCATTTAATGCCTAGTGGAAATCCAGCATTATAGTAGTACATACTTATAAACACATCTATATATTTATGCACATTGATATAAGGAATTTAAGGAAATTTAATTTTGTAGCTTCTTAAATATAATTACAGAGCAATTTAAAAAGTGTACACGTATGTATGTAAGTATGAATGCTTTTAAACTTCCAAGGCAAATCAACTAATCAACCGACTTCACAAAAAGGAGAAGGTTATCAATTCGTCGGTATATATATATATATATATATTTTATATTTTTTTATGTATGTTACCTCGGCCGATTTTTTTTTGCGACTATTGTTTTTTTGAATTGTCGATTGTAAGTGCCGATTGCGATGTAATCCTAGCTCCCACCGGCGAGGTAGTACGGGTCACTAAACCCAATTTTTTCATGAAATTCTCGTTTTATATAAATAAAAAACTTGTAAGACTTTCAATTTCCTACAAAAAAGTTTCGGAACAGACCCTGATCGCTTGCCAATACCGCGCACCAAGCAGCTTGCGTAACTTATTTGCTACTAAAATTTTAAAAATTTATTTTTCTAACTGGAAATAAGGTAACATTTAAAATATAGTAGTTAGCACCATCACTAACTACTTAGCTTTGTACTTATAAAATCTTGAAGAACTTCCAATTTAAATCGATTTTGTCCGAAAAACTTAATTACATAACCTCAAAACTAATTGAGATTAACATGCACTCCTTCCTAGAAATATCCTACGCAATATCCTGCTTGCAAATCCTCGCCATTTGCACTAACAATTGGCCGTAAATTTCTTATCTTTCAAAGAAACAAAAAATCTTCGTGTATTTCGTGATTTTTAACCATTTCTCTTTCATGTTCGCTGCTTTTTAGTAGTTTTTTTTTTGTTTTTCACAAAATTGTTGTTAACCGGAAGGAAGTAAACAGGGGTGCAGTAGGGTGGCCTCGTAGTGTATTAAATAAGAGACTGCTAACCTACTGACTCAACACACATAGATTTCGCATTAGGCTAAGTGCATAGTTGAGCGGCGAACAAAAAGAACGAACAAAGCATCGATTTACGAACGTGCAACATGCATTCATACATTTGCTAATCAGTATTTGCGAACGAATAGATTGACTTTGTGAATAAAGAACTAACACGCCTACAATTCGTTTATGTGGCTCCCATTGACTAGCAGATTGAACACCCACCATTTTTACTCGTATTATTGCAGCACATAGTTTGGTATAAAATAAAGTTCACCGTCTACTCTTCTTTGATTATTTTTTTCTGATAACTTTGCACTTTTTTCCCGAATTCCATTTCGGTACTTTCCCTTGCATTTTCACCTGCCAACCTATCTAAATTTTTTTTATTGCACCTCTTTTCCTTATCGTAAATTCGATTGGATTACAAACTTTCATTTTGTGTAACTGCGCATATCCAAGTAACCTCAATTTCTCTTTTTATTTATTTAACTTAACTACACTGGATTGCTTCCTACTTCATCTATTGTTGAGCTATCAGCTACCTACGCTCTACACTTGCATCCATTATTGCTATTGTCGTACGAGTATTCGATTTTCTTGTTGGTTCAGCCCTTTGTTCAATACAAAGAAAAACACAAACAAAAAAAAAACATTTTTCACATACCGTTGTGTGCATTTCCTGTTGAAATGGCATTTCTTTGTTTGCAACACACACACACACACACACAAACACAAATACTTACTCACACACAAATGAAGAGCATAATGCCGAAACTGAAGCAAGAAATAATACCGTTAAAACTACCAACACCATTTAACGACCCAATGATTTTCGTGTGAGACCACACATTTCACACATCCAATTCTTTAGTTTAGCTGGGAGTTGTTTTGGTATTTCTGTTTGTTGTTTATTTTCAATTGTTAGCTCTATGTCTTATCTGATGTTCGCTTCTGTTTCGCGCTGTTGCACTTATAGAATTTGCATATCGCTACATTGTAATTTATTTTCGCCTTTTCGCTTTAGCAACTCTTCTTAGGCAGTTGTGGTCTACTTGGCGTATACGTAACCTTTGAATTTTGAGTGGCTCAGGCCATCGGTATTCGTTGTATCCACTGTGATAAGAATTGGAAGACGATTAAATAGGAATTCGATAGAAGATATAGTGAAACCTCATCGCCTTCCATGCAACCATTATGCAGCTGAGTTGATGACATTACCGCATGGATTGCAGACGGACAAAGACCACTTAAGAATCCCAATATTTATTTAGTACACTATGTGAGATTTGCCCAAATGTTTTGCAAAAACTAACAATGCCAAAATCAGTCAAAAAACTGAAACCCCGAAGTTTTTTTATATATTGCCCTAAAATTTCCCATATTTGTATTGTACAGGTTAACCTAGGACAAGATGGGGGTTTCGTAGCAAATTAAAAACTTTGAGATTCGTCGTTTCGCTTTGGTATTTTTAAATTTTTTATTTGTTCATCCTAAAGTGATGCAAAGGGAAGCTAAATTTTTGTGAGGGCTTTCTAAAAGACTAAATAAATAAAATAATTTTATAAAAATTAAATTAGGGCACTCCGGGGTACTTTTTTTATCATTTACGGAATAACTATTTTGTAGTTAATTTTAAAGAACTTTTTTAAATAGCAACAATTTTAAAACTGTTACACGTAAACTAATGACAAAATAAAAACTTACTTAACTAATTTCTCCAATGATATCTTCGACTTTAGTAGTATCGATTTTGGGTATTAAATTTAAAAAATATTTTAAATTTTTTGAGTCTGCATGTAGCATCTAGCCATGGATCCCATTCCGTTTCACCTTAACCGACTTCAATCGGGAGCAAAATTTATATGTGATATATTCGACTACGGTAGTATCAGTATCGATTTTGGGTATGAGTTGGCAAAAAAATTAATTTTAATTTTTTGAGTCTCAATAGAGGAATCTGAACTGTGGCCTCAGTGTGACACGCCTTAACCGTCTCCAATCGGGACCAAAAGTTGTATGTGATGTCTGTGACCGTGGTATTACCGATTGAAGGGGTGAGACTGAAAAAAATCGCTCATTGGATTTTTTTAAAGGACCACCCTAATGTACATATACGCACGTGCCTAGTCATAAATGATTTATGTTGTCCAACAAAGTGCAAGTACTTTGTATATGGACAATTTCAAGAGGATAAAAGTATTCGCCAAAAATTGCATTCAGCAAAATTTGTATTCACCCAGAAATTCATGGGCATTTAAGTGCACGGCTATTTGCATTTTAACTCAATATAGTGAGCATATGTATTTGCACATACATACATATGTAGATAAATGCATATATACATATACATACATATTTAAATGCATGTCAGTAGAGTAGGTATGTATGTATGTATGTATTTACGTAATAGGCTTTGGGATCAAACCTGATTACACGCAAGTTACAGGCGGCTTTGCATAAGTGCTGCAAGTGAAGTGAATTTATACACATACATAAATAATTACCAGTTTTATATATTTTTGATCGAATAAAATCTACGTGGAAAAGGTAAAAGGGGTTAATTGATAAAACCAGACAGAGTTAACGCAATTATTTGGGTAAAAAAGTACCTCTATTAAATATCATGATTAGAATAATTTTCGTTCGACATGAAATTAAATTATATATATATTTT